CCCCCCGCCCTTTCCCACCCGGAGAGCTGGCTCGAAGTGGCCTGCTCTCCAGAAATTTGTCCCCCGGTAGCCAGAAAAATGGCAGAGCATCTCATCATCATGGGGCACTGGTGTGACACTGAAGAGCCACCGCCCTTCCTCTCTTCATTCTGACTGTCGAGTTCTATCCTGTGTAGGGTGCTTGGACCTTTAACGTCACTTCCAACCCTGAGGTTCTGGAGAGGAGAGACGACGTGTGGGTGTGGAAGTTTGTAGCTGTACATTTTAGGCTGTTTCAGGGAAGTAAGAGAACAGAGAACTTTTTCAAAACTGTAAAAACTGTGACTAGCATTAATAATGAGTTTTTATTAAGACTTCTAAAAGACAGACCTAGGCTAAACATTGTCTGAAAGAACTCATTACTGTAACCCGATGAAGTAACACAGGCACCTCCCACCCACCCACCAGGATTAAACCCAGGGCCTTCCCACTGAGCTACATTCCTGGCTTTTTTTTTTTTTTTTTTACCAAGGCCTCACTAAATTGCCCAGGCTGGGCTCAAACTCGTGACCTGCCTGCCTCAGTCTCCCAGAGTGCTGGGATTACAGGTGTGCACCACCATGCCTGGCCGAGATCTCTTTACAGACGAGCAAACTAAAACCAGATGAAACACCTCTGATTTCCCAGGTAGTGCGTCGGGGAGTCAGGGACTCTGCCTGGGGACCTCAGGGGCCTCCTGCCTCGGCCTGCAGGGAGCAGCAGGTGTATTCCTGGGATAGGCACTAACCTCTTTCTCCCTCTCCCCTAGAAGCTGCCAGGAACTCGATTCTCCACGTGAAAGCTGAAGTACACAAGTCCTTGGACAGCTACGCAGCCAGCTTGGCCAAAGCCATCGAGGCGGAAGCCAAAATCAACTTATTCGGGGAGGAGGCTTTGCCAGGGGCCCTGTTCTCAGCGAGAACCGGGCCCGGGGCTGGCTTCGGGGGCCGCAGAGGCAGCCGCACGCTGGCGAGTCAGAGGCTGCAGCTGCAAAGCATCGAGGAAGGGAACGTGTTAGCTGCGGAGCAGAGATGAGGGACTCAGGGTGGCTGGGCTGGAGACGGAGATGCTCCCCTGGGAGGGCTCCCACCACCTCTGTGCTGAGCCGGAACACGGGAGAGGAGACATCTGGTGTGCAGCCTCCAGACTGACTGGGGCGCCCGCCTCCAGCTCACAGCCGATCGAAAGGCGGGGATTTACATCCAGGAGGACCGGCGGCCCCGGGCTTGGAAGGAAGTAACGCCCAGTCTTTTTTCCTCTCCGCACGCCCTGGCCATGTACCGCCCGGAAGAACCTGTCCCAGGGAGCCTGAACACAGTACTGCCGTTCTGAACCCTGCAGGGTCACCCCCGGGGCTTCTGCCTGCCTGATACAGGCAGTGAGGCGCGTAGGGTCCCAGACCGAAGGGCCCACGGAGCACCCAGGAACAGGGCGCCCAGTCCACTTCCTAGACGTGCTCCACCGCCGCGCCCCCTGCTGGTACCGGTGGGCATAGCCCATAGGCCGTTGGGGATGGGACCACCCCACCACCTCCCACCGGACAGATTTTTGGGTATTTCGCAAGGGAGAAACCACTATAAAAGACGAGGGGGCAGGTACCAGGTGTTTCATCTGCAGAATTGGTTGGTTAGGACACTTCACAGCCTTCTCAAGACTGGCCAGGGCTGTGGTGCCAGGTGCTGTAGGGCCATGCTGCTGCTGCTGGAGGGAAGCCCTTCACGTGGGAAAGCCTCGGGGTAGGTTCTGGGGGTGAGGCTGGAGTGGCCAGTGGACGCAGCCGGCCTCAGTCCCACAGGGCGTGCCCCGGCAGCGACGGTCACTGTGATGGCAACCCTGGCGCAGCATAAGACGAGGCAGAAAGCAGTGGACCTTTACTCAGCTCTGAGTCTTGGTGTCATTTGGGACACCTGTCACCTCTCCAGGGCATTTGTAAAAGGAGAAAAGGGAGGGAGGTGTTGGGCTGAACGGTGCCAGCCACGGAGACGCGGGAGTGGAGAAAGAGGGCGCCACCTCCGCGGTGGGGTGGGACTGCAGGTGTGGGCCGCGCGGTCAGCTGCTGTCCTTGAGCTGGAAGAGCGGCTGAAGGTTGGGCTTGGAGTAGCGGCTGCCATGCATGACTCGGGAGGCCACGGAACCTCCTCCCCGTACCGCCCTTTGTCCTGGGCGACCAGATGAGCTAAGACAGCAGAAGGCAGTCCGAGGGCAGCTCATTCTGTCTGCTTGTAGGCAGCTATTCCAGCAGGGGATTCCTTTGAAGCATTTCTCTGGGGTCTAGCTGGCCCTGGTGAGGCTGTGTCTTTGCTGTGCGGCAGAAACCAATGGCTTGCTCAGCCCCAGTCTGCAGTTCCCAGAACTTTCGTGAGCCTGGGTTCTGCCATCTCTTAGACAGCAGCCACTCGGTCAGCTGCATGCCGGG